CCGTCCCAACGTACTATAATATTAATATAAAGCATCTACTCAAAATGAACAATGTTTTCGCCCATATAGACGGGATTGTGATAGGTGTATTTATAAAAAAGATTATTACTTTTTGTTTAAAAAATTGTTTTAGTTAAACAAGAAAAATTTTGAAATTTTCACAAAAGTACAAAGGCATTTTGAAAATTAGTGTCTTGGAATTTTATTTGTAGAATATGATATCTTTTAGTAAAAATGTCAATTTTACCTCTTATAGAGATGGCAAAAATAGTGATATTTACAAAAACACTGTTAGTTAACGAGTAAGATATCACAAAAAATAACTTTTTTTATAAAATAAACCATAAAGTTAATGAGTCCACTATTCATAACTCATTCTATCATTAATTTTTGTAATTTGAATGATAGTATCATATATATCTATATATATTATCACTATTAAATTTGATACAGATTTCTAGAAAAATCAAGTCTCACACATAACTTTTTTAGAGATCTATGTCAAATTTAATGGTGATCTTTTAAGTAACTTTTTTAGAGATCCATGCCAAATTTAATGGTGATCTTTTGGGGTGATACACACATGGATGTAAGAAGGTCTCATAGAATCATTGCTCATTATATTATATGAAAAATATATAATGAGACCATTGGCGTTGACATTTTAAAATAAGTTTTATTTGAGCTCTTTGGCTGCATTTACTAACCTATTGGCGTTGACATTCCATTTATAAGTTGTTTATTGTTGCATTTTCTTTGCGTTTTTTTTTTTGATCAAGGATATGAATTCTTCATTATTTTACATGAGGGTCATAACATTTCTTGTCCACTTGGGTTTGATGTTAGGCTGTTTTGCACTCATGCGGGAGCACACTGTATAGTTACTCCCTCATGCAAAAGGCCTATTCGAGAGTACTTTTTTATTTAAAATATTGAGATCGAGTTAATATAATTATTTTTAAGTACCGTAAATATTAGATTTTGATTTTTTGACCACTTTGATATGCCATCCAAAAAATAAAATGCTTACATTATTTAGTTATTTATAAAAAGGGAAAGGCTTCTATATTTTATCTACAGCATAGTATAGAAGATCTATGTTTTTCTTACCATTCAGCCGTTCAATTTTGATCAAGAGAGCCACTCACCGTTTGATCAAGAGAGCCACTCACCGTTTTATTTTTAGTTTTTTTTTTTATACAAATTGTATGAATATGAAATTTGGTACGTGCCAATTTCTCATTGAGGCGCACCTAAAAAAATATTAAAAATAAATTTTTGATAAAATATAATGACCAAAATATCCCTTGAAACTTTTAGGAGTATTTTGGTCATTTTATTTTATTGAAAATATTTGTTTTATATTTTCGTTAGTGTGAGTTTAATAGAGGATTGGACGTCCAAAATTTGGTATCAAAATAGTTTCTAGAAAAAAAATTAAAAATAAAATAGTGTAAAGACGTGACATTATGATTGGAGCAATCTTAGCCCTCCATTCAGAATGGACGGTTGGATAAGGAGAAACATATAAATTTTTTGTTGTAGGAGAAGCGTAAAAAGCTTGCCCTTTATAATGGTGATGTGACTTTAGGCTGGTGCTTAGTTGTGGAGCTATCATCCTGAAACTCAATGAAGTTAGTAAAGTTGTAAAAATAGGAATTGATCTTAGGCTTGAGTAGTTAGTTGATAAAAAAAAAAAAGATTTAACAATTTTACAAAAAAAACATATGGACATTTCTTTCAATATTTTAAGAGAAAAGTGGCCCAAAATAAAACTCAAAGTAGCTCCCTGCACATATCTCTGCACGCTTCAATCGAGAGACAAAAAATCAAATCCGGTCGAATTAAGGTTTAAAAACATGGTTAGTGACCTGGCTTGTGCATCCGGATTTTTGCACTGCTTCAGCAGATCGACAATCTAGTTTACAAAACCAGTAATTCAAAAATAAAAAAGTATTGAAAAAGAAAAATAAAAAAGTGGTGCCAATTTTGACTCGTTCTCTGATAGATACGGCCAATTCCTAATATTTTGCGAGAATCGATTCACCCATGACGATTCCCAATCCTTGTCGGCTGGATCGACTTTTTTTTAAACCTTGGGTTGCATAATTTGACGACCCAAGAACAATGAATTTTTAAGAAAACCAAACTCATATTTTTACTTCCTAATATTCTCGCGAGCTGGGAAAGCAACAAAGTTATAAAACATAGAAAATACTGAGAACTTTAAAAGGTTTCTAATTTGTTTTATTCCAATAAGGCCTCAGTTTTCTATTTTTGTCACTCTTTTTAAATGTTTTCATCCAATTCATTTGCTTTTAACTTAGATGAAATCCTACAGGAGGAGGACTACAACACACGTTTACTGAACCTTTTCTCTTTTCCTTTCTCTTATCATGGAGTTGGAATCCATTGTAGGAAATGTGTATGATGAGACCATTTATTTTTTGTAGAAGAAGGTCATAATCATTGTTAACCGTTGGATGTGAAATTGGATGGGTGGTGATGTATCACTCTTTGAGCATACATTCCGAAAACAAATTTTATTGAAAGCTTAAATACATTTTAATATATTAGATTTAACATCCACCGGCTAAAAAAAGTTGTGACTTTCTTGTATAAAAAATAAATGGTTTTACAGTATATGCTCCCTTATCAGTATTCCTAACTTGGAAACGCTTCCAAGCTCCATTTATTAATAGGTGATTTATTGTATCCTATTCATCAGAGTTGGGCTGAAGCTGCCCACAATTGAAGTGAGATTTGAAAACTTGAGTATAGAAGCAGAGTGTGAGGTGGTGGATGGAAAGCCCCTCCCCACCCTTTGGAATACTATCAGAAGCATATTTTTTGTAAGTAATTTATTTGTCTCTCTTTTTTCATTTAAAGTAAATATTTAATAAGACTATTTATCTTTGATGCAAGAACGATACAATTACTCCTATGCAACTGCCGGATTACACATCTGACAATTAAAGGTAATTATATAACAAAAAAAAATGGTGTTATGAGTAATATACTTAAATATATAATCACCCCAAAAGAAATTACTTATCGAATATGATTGTTGGAGCTTCCTCTCTAGCTTCAATTATGGTACGATGTGGTATGAGTTAATATTATAACATTACATGATATTAAATATGATTATGTATGTTATGGTATATTAAGGCATTAGTATCTGTCTCTCATAGGGACTTGTGAAGCTTCCATGTTCAAGATCAGAGGATGCAAAGATAAGCATTATCAAAAACGTCAGTGGCATTATAAAGCCATCCAGGTACCATTTTATTTTCTTTCCTTTCCTTGCTCAATTTGCCTTTTTTCTTTTTGGTAATTCTAGTATTCTACCCAAAATAGGACATGTTTTATTAATCGGTGTGGTTTGTATAAGACTGAGGCCCTAAACAATTAGATTGAAGCAAACATGAGTAGAAAGAAAATAAATAAACAAGAAAAATATAAATTTAGATTGATATAAGCTGAAAACGAAAGAAAATAAACAAATTGGACAAACAAAAAATAAAATAAAAAATGAGAGAATATATCCTCACCAAAAAAAACTAATCTATACAGATCTATTAAAAAATTGAAAATAAATTTTTTTTCTCTTCTGTTGCTTTTGCACTAATTATATATTTACATAAGAAAACCCTGACACCTAACTTGTATTTTAAGAAACCATAACCATAACCCTTAATCTTTAGAAAGATGAAGTTTTAATTTTACCCTTCAATTTTCTATTACAAAACAAATGCCTTAATAGAAAAATTAGAAATTCAAATAATCCCGAATCTAAATTTCAATCTCTCAAAAATAATATAATAAAATAAAAAATAGACAAATCCCATGTACATCATAGATGCACATCAAAAGGGTGAGATAACTAGGGAATTTTGGTAATTATGCAAGAGAAAATAAAACAGTTTTGTGGTGGTTGCAGATTGACGCTCCTTCTAGGGCCCCCTGGGTGTGGAAAATCCACCTTACAAATGGCACTCGCACGAAAGCTCGATGCCTCCCTCAAGGTTAAATCCCCCCCCCCCCCCCCCCTCTCTCAAGCTAGGCCTGCCAATGGGCAAGTCAGCCCGGCCCACCAGTTGGCCCCGCCCTAAAAAATAGGGCCGGGACAAGGGCCAGGGCCAGGGCCAGAAATTGTAGCCCGAGGGCTACGCTGGGGCCAATGTTAGCCTG